CACTCTTTCTTCTCTGCTGCCTTTGCAGCTGGGTGCCCAGCCAGCAGCCTCCAGTCTTGGAGTTCATCTCTCCTGGGCAGGTGACCGTCTTTGCCTCAGAAAGCTGGCCCCTCTGACGACGACAGAATTGCTCTGTCCATTCTCTACTGGGTATAGTAACGGGGGACATAGTTATTGAAACAAGGGATGGTACTGAACTGCCAGCTTCAAACATCTCGCTGGTAGCTTCCAAAGCCAAGAAATAAGGAGAATTGCTAATGTTCGTAGCACTTACCATTTTACATTTGTAGGGATTTAGTTACAAACCAAAAGACCCTGACTGTGCGGGAATTCCTTTTTTCTATGAGGCTTGAGCCACATATTAACTGTGTGACTGGACTGGTCAGCGTTTAGAAGATCTTTCAGAAGGAGTGTTTTTAGTTTACCATATAGTTAGACCGTCCCTGCACAGCTGTGGAAGCACGTTGTTTTAGCAGAATTTATGGAGGTAACATCGATTGCCTCAGAACAGCCAGTTTGGCCTGCAAAGAAAAACTGGGGTCATCTTACTACTTTGGAGAAGCGTCCGTACAGCCTGATGAGCCGTAAATGAAGATGTGCTCTCGAAGTGGCTGTTCTTTTGGGGTTAGGCAGAGAGAACTCTGGAGAAGAGCTCCTTGACCACATCTCGTTGTGTTTCCATGTGTGTAGCTGGTTCGTGACATTTTAGTGTCTCATACTTATGATATTAGTTTAAGCAAGTCGGATTTTGCGTTCTTCTTTTCTGCATTCTGTGTGTTCTCTGTTTATTTAGATAGTGATCAACGAGAATGTTTTCATCTAGAGACCTGGAACTACATTCCTATTTACATCTGCTAATAGAGGACATGGAGTGAATTTCAAAATGAAGACTGTCATGATGTGCTTTATTTAAAGAAGTGTCCTCTTGCAATGTTCTCGCTGTTTTAAGAGTGGCTGTTCAATACAAATGTAAAAGCAGAACTTGCTGGATAACTAGTTCAGTGTGGATGACTGATTCCTGTATGTGGTTACTATAGATATCCCTGAAGACGAAGCCAGATACTGGACCAATAAACTAGAAGAGATAAACTCTTCCCAAGATGGTGGTGAGGTGAGTAAACTTAACTTGAAACATGAGCACTATCGTTAAAATAGGATTCTGATCCAAAATGCCCCAGAGTTCACTGTAGTACAATGCAGAATTTCCATGCCAGTTAATTTTAGGTAATTACTGCAATTTCTCTTGATTTGCAAGTTTTCCTTTGTGCTGCCCACTTTCTGTTATGGGCGGTGTTAATGCCAGCTAGAATACTAGGGGAAATTGATTTCTGCATCATGCTTAGATTCAAAACCAGTGTAAAATTTGGCCTCTAGCAGACAGCAGGATGAGGTAGTTAGGAAAGCAGAGCTACCTCAGGCTGTGTTGCTTGTTATCCCAAACAAAGAATAACAAAAGATTCAGTTTCTTAGGCCTTTATGCAAAATATACACTAAGGATACCTGCCTTATTGAATAGTGATAGAAATGTGTTAGTCTGGTGCAGGACTATGTAGCACTTTAAAGACTAACAAGATGGTTTATTAGATGATGATCTTTCGAGAGCTCATCTAATAAACCATCTTGTTAGTCTTTAAAGTGCTACATAGTCCTGCCTTATTGAAAGTATTATTAATTTAGTTGATGGACTTAATTTTTTGCCTTTAAGGAGCTTTTTACACCTACTTTTGTTGGAATTAACGAGTGTTAATAAAAAGTGTAACGCTCGCCTTTTTACGTACCAGGAGCGTATTTCTAAAAGGTCCTGTTAGCCATATAAATAGGGTGTGTGGGAAGTTCTGGGGCCATATATTGTGGCCATAATTTAGCCTCCCCGCATTTAGTCTGTGGTCAGTGGATTCATTGTGCAGACTGAGGATGCTCAGGCAGATCTGAAGTCTGGAACTGGCTGACCCACTCACTCAGGTGTATTTAACTGGATAAAAAAGGGTTTGTGTGTAGCTTCTTCAGGCAGTGCTTACAGAAGCAGCTGTAGAGCTTCTTGGTCTCTGAACCAGTGACAAAGCAAGTGGTGTGAACTGGTCACTCGTCAGTAATGTTTTTGCAAGGCGATCCTCCTTTTAGGTTGAAAGCGATGGTGCCAGATGCACGGTGGAATAAAGGTGCCCTCTAGTGGTTCGTCAGATTCTTGGTAGATGAAGTTTGAGAATTGCGTCATAATTCATCCAATGTAGATGCCTTCTCTGCTCATCCAGCCTGTGCTTTCTCACTATAACTTGTGTGTGTGTGTGTGTGTGTGTGTGTGTGTGTGTGTGTGTGTAAGTGCGTCCCCGAGGTTATTCCTCATTTATTGTGAATGAGTCCCGTCAGTGGTCAGGGTATGTGTCATTAACCCAGCAAGCAAGATTTCAAAATGTGCAGCTTCCACTGACGTGAGCAGTGTTCCATGGAAGTGGAGTATGTGGGTGACCACCCAGGAGAGATTCAGGTGCTTCCCTGCTGATAAGCAGAGCATCCACATCCAGTGGCATGTGTTGCTACTGGTGGTGCACATCTGCACATGCCTTGGTGCACTTAAAATTTATTCTGCACATGGGTGGAAAAAATTAGAGGGAACATTGCTGGTGAGGTCTGTGTTCTTGGTATTTTGCCCAGTAGGATTAAAAAAATATTCTACCTATTTTCTGTCTCTAGCCTCAGACAGATCACTGGATTATTTTTGAGTGACCAGTGTGCTTACAGGTGGAGGGAGGAGATCAGAATAATGATATAAATGCATCTCTGGGGAACACCTCAGCACTGTAGCAGGCCTTTCTGGAATTAGCCAAAGCTGGGCACATGGAATCTGTGTAGTCCAGTATAAAGGCAAATAAGTTGAAAAATCCTTCCATGTTGTTGGCTGTTGCCTGCCTCCGCTGCAAGAGCGTTCTGCATGTTGCACTGCTCCGTGTGCACGAGTTATCTAGCTTCTCCCAGTCCCCACATCCAACGCTCCTTCAACGTCGTGTCCAAAGCTGTCAAACGTGGGCACTTAAAACTCATATTGACATGTCAACAATAGAGGCTGCCTTATTCTCAGGCTGCCACACATGCCCAAATTCCACTGATGTCACCGCTCAGCAGCTCGGAAAGTCAGAAGTGTATGTTTGAGGTGGCTAAATGGATTTAGATGCCTAATTTGTGGTCCCCAAGTTAAATTTTTTTCTCTTGAACTTTAAAAGTAGATAAGACTTCGTCCTGTAGAGCCATTAACATATTTTGGCATGGGAGAGTGCGAATTTTTACTTTCCTAAGAGCATGTTCTGTATGTGAGCATTAAGGAAAATATTTTGTCCTTTAACTCCACCCCCACCTCCAGTATTCTCTGGGAGCGTAAGCTTGTTATGTTCTGGAAATCCTGTTTCATAAGATGACTTGAAATCTGTTACCTGTCTGTGCTCTCTTTTTCTCTTCCCTTAGTATTCATTTTCGGAAGAAGTCCAGAAGAAACCACTGCCCACTGCTGCCTCCCAGTGTTGTAAGTATGACTATTTCTCTCTTGACATACTTTCTCTTAAACACATGTCCTTTCATTCTCTGGTTAGTACATCCGGGCAAGATTCTCGTGTTAGAACTGCAGTTAGGAAATGGCAACCTGCCTTACAGAAGGTGACATTAGGTTGGAGGTCAAACTAGGCATTTTTTGTAGGGCAGGTAGAATGCTCGAAATGCAGGGTTCTGCCATAGAGTCCTATGAATGATCTTAACCTGAAGATTAATAGTGAAGTCTGAATCTCAGTCCTTAGCCTATCCTTGTTTGATCAGTGTAGTAGGCACATGCAATTTAGGAAACCATCCAGAATTTTCTTTCTCTGTAGTAATTGTGGACAATGGGAGAGTTGGGAATGGATTTAAGTCTTCACTCCGATTTTTCTTCTGTTTGTATAACTGTCGGATCATTAACGGGATTTTAAGAGTATATATCGTGGTTTTCTGACTTTAAAATTATGTATTTTTCAGGAGAATATTTGGAGGCTGAAATCCTGTCAATGCACCCATTAAAATGTCGCCAAGTTTTGTGTATTATTCTTAAGATTGTGTGTATTCTCAGTGTGTTCTTTAATACAATGAGATGAGAAGTATTCATTATATTAGTTGTTTCTGCTTTAATTCACTTTTTGAATCTGCTTCCTTTATTGTACTTGGGAAAACGTGGATGGGGAAAGACTTTAGCCTATGTTGCATATTGATAGTTTGCAAAATTACAGCTACTTTTAGCTCACAGCAGGGAGGGGATATGCGATATGCTATTGGAAAGTGGAAGCGAAACTTATCCATCCTTTAACGGCTTGACTGCTTTTGGAAGCATGACAGGGACAGGGAAGAAAATGCTCAGACAATGTTCTCTAACTGCTCACTCGGACTCCTTCTGCACCTCAGCGTAACGCTTTGGGTTGGGTCTTTTCAGGGCTGTTCAGAAAGCACTGCACAGAGTTAATGTTCAGGACCATTGTATGTGAAGTCCTGATAATAGACCTGGTAAACTACTCGCATCCCTTGTGCAGACTTGCACCTTTTGTTCCTGTTACAAACTTTCAAATGCAAGGTTTGAACGTAGCATTTTCTAGACTTGAACACACACGGGGACTCTACAGAGCTTGAGAAATGGCACCTCGTAGTACATCCAAGTAGTCTGCAGCCTAGGGGTGGGCAAAGGAGCCTCCAGCCCACGGCCGCCCTGCCGCTCCCCTGCCCCCAGGTCAATCGAGACCTAGAGACGGGGGAGTGCGGGCCTCAGAGGGACCTGCTCCCTAACTGCTGCACACCTCTGGCAGGGCAGGGGGCGAGAGACTTTGCACACTCCCCCACGCCCTGATTGCCCTGGGGGTGTGGGAGTCTTCTCCTGTTGCAGTGCTTAGAGGGAACCACTAGCTGTTGGAAAACAGCTGTCGATTCTCTCTGGGGGCAGCTTCATGTGCTTGGGGGGGGGGGGGGATGAGATGTTTCCTGGCCCTACCCTTTCTTCCAGAGGGCACTTGAGAAATTTCTGAAGTGGGCCCCTTTTAAAAATGATTGCCCACCCTGCTGTAGCCTGTGATCAGCGATGCAGGAGTTGGGATCAGCACATAGACTGTCCATTTCCTGGATCTCCTTATAGGGCACCACCTTCTCTCCACAAGCCCAGCTGAGTCAGGCAAGTATTCACAAACCGACAGCTCACAAAGGACTTCCCCGTCTCGCCCTCTGAATGAGCCACAATTCCAGCGTAGAGCAGCTAGCGGGTAGCTCAATGTAAGTTCCACCAGCTCTGTAGCCTCTAGGGTCACACATGCTTCTCTGCTGGCTTTCTCTGTAGGTCCGTAAAACATATCACAGTGATGGGCCCATCAGTGGCTAGTAGCCAAGGTAGGTGGACAGCCCCGTGCGCTGGGTGTCTGTATATCTCTGGCTGCCAGAAGCTGGCACTGGATGATGGGATGAGGCACTCGATAATTGCCCTTTTGTGTTGATCTGGCAGCATGCAGGCATCTGGCATGGGACGCTGTTGGGCTACACAGGCCATTGGTCTGACCTGGCATGGTCATCAAGTGTTATCTTAATGGACATGCACCTGGAAGTACTAATCCGTACTCAGTGGTACAGAGATGGCACCCAACCCACACAGCTGACAGGTCTCTTGGTCCCGCTGTGATCGTTCTCACAGTCCCTACGTTATCCAGGCTCTGTAACTCTCACAAGTCTGCTATCCTCTTTTAAAATCCTGTAAGACTTGGGTATTACGCTGTCAGGTTGTTATCCAATAGGCTGATTATGGGATCGCTACAAAGCCATTAACATGAAAGGTTAATTACTATTTACCTTTTCTAGACAGGGGAGTTAATCATCTGCGTGGTGGTAATTTTGTCTGTAATATCTTCAGAGAATTTGAACATTTTATCAGTTCAAACATTCAAGTTTTCCGGGTCAGTTCCAGTGGAAAGTCCTATAGGAGAGTGTATGAGCATCCTAGCAGTGGGGTCTAAAAGAATTCCAACTTCGGCTTTAAAAATGAAACAAGTACTGTCAGTATTAAAGCAGCAGCCGGCGTGGAGCCAGGTAGATGCCAAGGGGGAGTTAGGCAGTGGCCCAGGGGAAGCTGACAACTGTCAGGCTGACCTTGTAACACTTCAGAGGGTGTCACCGTGTTGGGGCCGGATCCCCGCTGACCCACGTGGCAGCCAGGGCTGCTAAGGCCCTGGGCCGGGATGCAGTAGAGTAGGGAGGGCCTGCATCCCCCCTGCCACCCCACATACTGGGTGGCAGTCCTCCCCCTCCCTGCTCGTGCCTGGGGAACTTCATTTGTTTGGCTGACGTGCCCTGTACCAGGGCCTGGGCCGTATTACCTTCGGGGCTGCGTGCGTAGCGCTGCCTGCCCTGAACCGGGGCCTGGGCCGCATTACCTTCGGGGCTGCGTGTGTAACGCTGCCTGCCCTGAACCGGGCCGGGGCCGTATTACCTTCGGGGCTGCGTGCGTAGCGCTGCCTGCCCTGAACCGGGGCCTGGGCCGCATTACCTTCGGGGCTGCGTGTGTAACGCTGCCTGCCCTGAACCGGGCCGGGGCCGTATTACCTTCGGGGCTGCGTGCGTAGCGCTGCCTGCCCTGAACCGGGGCCTGGGCCGCATTACCTTCGGGGCTGCGTGTGTAACGCTGCCTGCCCTGAACCGGGCCGGGGCCGTATTACCTTCGGGGCTGCGTGCGTAGCGCTGCCTGCCCTGAACCGGGGCCTGGGCCGCATTACCTTCGGGGCTGCGTGTGTAACGCTGCCTGCCCTGAACCGGGCCGGGGCCGTATTACCTTCGGGGCTGCGTGCGTAGCGCTGCCTGCCCTGAACCGGGGCCTGGGCCGCATTACCTTCGGGGCTGCGTGTGTAACGCTGCCTGCCCTGAACCGGGCCGGGGCCGTATTACCTTCGGGGCTGCGTGCGTAGCGCTGCCTGCCCTGAACCGGGGCCTGGGCCGCATTACCTTCGGGGCTGCGTGTGTAACGCTGCCTGCCCTGAACCGGGCCGGGGCCGTATTACCTTCGGGGCTGCGTGCGTAGCGCTGCCTGCCCTGAACCGGGGCCTGGGCCGCATTACCTTCGGGGCTGCGTGTGTAACGCTGCCTGCCCTGAACCGGGCCGGGGCCGTATTACCTTCGGGGCTGCGTGCGTAGCGCTGCCTGCCCTGAACCGGGGCCTGGGCCGCATTACCTTCGGGGCTGCGTGTGTAACGCTGCCTGCCCTGAACCGGGCCGGGGCCGTATTACCTTCGGGGCTGCGTGCGTAGCGCTGCCTGCCCTGAACCGGGGCCTGGGCCGCATTACCTTCGGGGCTGCGTGTGTAACGCTGCCTGCCCTGAACCGGGCCGGGGCCGTATTACCTTCGGGGCTGCGTGCGTAGCGCTGCCTGCCCTGAACCGGGGCCTGGGCCGCATTACCTTCGGGGCTGCGTGTGTAACGCTGCCTGCCCTGAACCGGGCCGGGGCCGTATTACCTTCGGGGCTGCGTGCGTAGCGCTGCCTGCCCTGAACCGGGGCCTGGGCCGCATTACCTTCGGGGCTGCGTGTGTAACGCTGCCTGCCCTGAACCGGGCCGGGGCCGTATTACCTTCGGGGCTGCGTGCGTAGCGCTGCCTGCCCTGAACCGGGGCCTGGGCCGCATTACCTTCGGGGCTGCGTGTGTAACGCTGCCTGCCCTGAACCGGGCCGGGGCCGTATTACCTTCGGGGCTGCGTGCGTAGCGCTGCCTGCCCTGAACCGGGGCCTGGGCCGCATTACCTTCGGGGCTGCGTGTGTAACGCTGCCTGCCCTGAACCGGGCCGGGGCCGTATTACCTTCGGGGCTGCGTGCGTAGCGCTGCCTGCCCTGAACCGGGGCCTGGGCCGCATTACCTTCGGGGCTGCGTGTGTAACGCTGCCTGCCCTGAACCGGGCCGGGGCCGTATTACCTTCGGGGCTGCGTGCGTAGCGCTGCCTGCCCTGAACCGGGGCCTGGGCCGCATTACCTTCGGGGCTGCGTGTGTAACGCTGCCTGCCCTGAACCGGGCCGGGGCCGTATTACCTTCGGGGCTGCGTGCGTAGCGCTGCCTGCCCTGAACCGGGCCTGGGCCGTATTACCTTCGGGGCTGTGTGTGTATTGTTGCCTGCCCTGCTCTCGGGGTCTGTGGTGTGAAAGGAGCCAGTGGACCTGTACTTACAGGCCTGAGCACAGGTCAGGGACCCAGGACCTCAGCAAACGGGTTTACACCAACCTACATGGATAGCATGTTGGGTGTGGAAAGAATGCTCCTAGACGTTACAAATGCACCTGCCAATTATTGGGTTCAAGTCCATTGACAAAGAGCCCAAGGAATCCGCACACGGCAGACTCTTAGCTTAAATGAGCTCAGTGCAATAAGAGCCTTCAAGCTCCCCCAGGGGTTATCTGATTAGCTGGCTCTTGGGTCTGATGGAATTGCCGTGGAGGAAGGTGCCAGAACCCCAGAGAAGGCAGATCTGCCTCCGGGAAGGTCTCCTCCTGA